CTAGCAACCTTAAAAAAATAGTAAATTAGATTTCAGTCTTAATTCTGACAATAGGATTAAAATATACTATAGTATATGTCTACTATAATTAAGTTTCACAATGATCAAATAGCTTTATACAAACAAACATATTAACAAACTACTTTTTTATCTTATTCTAATTTATAATTAAATTATACTAATTTATCTTGTCATCTTTGTTATCTCCTTGAACATATAATACTTGTAGAGAGTTTGGTCAATTTATTGAATAGTATCAAACTATTATATCTTTACAAACCTTTAACTTATCTACTTGAAACCAATTTTATATTTTGAAAAATACTACTAGATATACTGTTGTCTGTAGAGCTGCTCATGATTTAATATTTAGTTGTCATTATCATAGTGATATTTCTAACTTTAAACAATTAATAATTTATTTACTATATAAATATATAACTTTTTTATATTACTTACCTTTAGGATTAGCTTTTGCTAATGTTTATGATCAATATATTGATTTTGACTATCAACTAGAAGAGTTATTTAATCAATCTGTAGATTTAAAACTACTTAACATCTCATATATCTTTGATTCTAGTTTTTAATTAACTCAATACTCTGATCCTAATAATATTACTTACTTAAATAATAGTTTTGAGGAAGAAGGATTCACATCCTATTAATTGTCTATTAGTGACTTATCATCTGAATCTATAAATTTAAATTCTACTTTTATTATATCATATGAATCATTTGGTCCTGAAGTAAAACAAAATTTTAATCTTACTAATAACAAAAAAACCCCTGCTAAACTTACAAATTTTTCACTAATAGTTGACAGAATACTGCTAATACAATGAATATCTTGGCTAATGTACTAAGGCAAGAAAGAGTGAAAATTTTAATAATCTTGAAATATTTTGAAGGAGATAAAACTTAAGACCCTATTAAATAAATAGAAGAATTTAAATATGCTGCTATTGCTAATAGATGGAATGCTACAAGGCAGCTGAAGCTTGCATTAGTATATCTCAAAGAAATTGCTTAAAAATAGTATTAATCCTTGACTGATACTCAAACTGCTACTTTATTTAAAATAATATTAATCAAGACAGTTTTTATTATATGTTTAAAATTCGTTTCTCTACTTCTACTTAACAAGCTTCTTAGCAAAAACAACTTTTTGATATTCAGCAAGGAACAAATTCTGTTGATGCTTATATTAGTTGCTTTAAAAAGCTTTAAAATAGAATTGATTCTAATGAAAATTTTTTCACTAATTTCATTAAACAACTTTTTATTCAAGGTCTTCAACTTGATGTGGCTGTTTATATACAAGCTTTTAATTCTGAAAATATAAACAATGCTATTGAAACAGCTAGAAGATAAAAAACTAGAAAACTTTAGCTTCTAAATCTACCAATAAAGTAGAATCTATAATTTATGACTTAACTGAAAGTTTTAAAACTATAAGCCTTAATTTAGTTCAGCAAAATAACAAGAAAAAGGTTATACTGTTAAAAGTAATAACAACCTAAGTAATTGAGACCAAGAAAGAAATAGAAGTATAAATCCAAATATTTGTTGCTTTAAATGTAATAATACGGAACATGTAGCCACACAATATTAGCTTAATATAAAAAAAAATAGTTCTTATTATAATAGAGAATATAGAAGAAGATCTAATCAGGTTCTTAAAACTATAGAAGAAATTCATCTAGAAGTTAAGAAAGATATAGAAGAAGCAGCTAAGACTATAATCGTTATAATAGAAGCAGATCTAAAAGCTAATCTAGAGATCAGAAAGTTTATTATAGATCCACTATTCATCAGTATATCAATTTGGCTGATAGTAAAGAAACCACCTTCACCAATTATTAGAAAACTCTTTTAAACAATACTAGTAGTAGAGGAGTATTAGCAAATTATTTACAAAGTGATTTTAATATTGTTAATATAGTATACTCTAATTAACCACGAACTATTCCTGTAAAATATCAAACAACTATTCAAAATAAACCTTTTACTGCTATTATTAATAGTAAAGCTGCTATTAGTATAGATATCTAATAGGCTGCTAAAGAATTAGACACCTCCTTCAATAGTTTAATTTTGTCTACTCTTAGAAAACAAATTAGACTCCTAGGTGTTATTAAGGAAGTTTTTATAGAAATTGCAGAAATTATTATTTCTATTTCTATGGAAGTTGTACTAGCAACTACTTATTCTCTTATATTAGAAAATAATTGGTTACAAAGTAGAAGCTTAATATAATTAGAAAATTAATAAATATATTATATATTAGAATGATCATCGTATTATCATACCTACTACCTATAAGTATAACCAGGCTGCAGATAGTTAATCTATAGTTAGTAAAGTAAATAATAATTAGAAAGAAGAATATGAAAATGAAGAATTAATCTCTTATGAAGCATATAACTTAAAAGCAAAACCTGTTAATACAGAAACTAGAATGAACTGTATATCAATGAAAAACTAGACCCTTTCGCAAAAATAAACAAGGATGTAGAACATATAGACAAACTGATCATTATTTTAAGAACTGCTCTTATAATAAGTGTTGGTGATGTGATAATTATAGGTATATTGCTGCTAAATATCCTTACCAAAAATCTAAATATATTATCTGTACTACTTGTAGTCAATCTAACTATCAATTTAAAGACTGTTCAGAAAATAAATATAGAAAGTATGATAAAAAAGACATATTAGTACTGATTGCTTAGAAACAGACTTGAATTAGAAAGTAAAAGATACCAATATAACTGTAATAAACAGGGAGTTAATAAACAAAGAGTTTATTTCTATAGCAAAAAAAGGAAGCACCATTGCTATTAATGCAAGTATCTTCAATTTGGTAATGAATTGATGCTACTAGAAGGGACTCTAGTCTGCAAAGCATACTATAAAAACTATTATGAAAATTTAAATCAAAAAGATTTTAAAAGCTATTATTACTATAAACATGGATTAGAAAAAAAAATCTTAATCAAATATATTGTATATGAGAAAAAAATCTTAAATATGCAAATAGAATTTGGTTTTGTAGCTTTAAGTATATATATGCTTGCTTATAAAGCTAGTAAAGATGTTAAATATAACCCCAATTATAATTTGTGAACTAGAATTAGATATTATACTGAGTTTAACAAAAGTGTTAGAAGTTATTATAATATAAACCAAGATAGTATTTATTGTCAAGCTTAAACTCTACTTGGTATCACATCTTAAAGTATTGCTCAAGCAGAGGAAGAGTAAGAAATGGACAGATATAATAAAGAATTTATAAGTAAGAAATTAACTCTTCATTTTCTGTATTAGTAAAGTACAATTAACTACATCAGCAAAATATATAAACGTAATCTTATATAAAATATTATGGTCCATAATAATGCGCAAGAATTACGATTAACGTTCAATAATATATAATTATCGATTACGCAATATTATGCAAAAATATTATGAAATATTATGCAATATATTACAAATAATTTTAAATAGTTTTGAAATAAATCACAATAGTTCGAACCAATTCAAATAATAATTCGTTTTATCAGGAAAAAAATAATAATTTAAAAAATAAATTAAATATTTATTTGAAAAATAGATTGAATTTATTCAAATTAATTCAAAATAAATTGATATAATCTAATTAAATACATAATAAACTGAAGTTTGTTTATTGCAATATTTACTCAGATATTTTTGAAATAGTTCGAATTATTTCGAAATAATCTAAATTTATTAATTTTTAT